GGCTAAAACCTGAAAGTATACAAGTAATGTCAAGGCAAGACATTGTTTATGAAGAAATTTTTTCTCTTAAAGCATGTTTAGAGACTATATAAGATTTGATTATTTCTCTAACAGCTCAAAACAAGTGAAAGATTTTCTAAATGGATGTCAACTTTTTCAAAGAAGTGCTATTCATTTCACAAGAGAGGTAATACCATCCAAAAAAGTGCTTGAAAAGTTAATTTCAGCAATTGTGAGTTGATTAGCATCTAATGAAACGTGATATGATATAAATTAAAGTTGAAAAGGTAAACCCAAAAAATATTCGTTATTATGTCAAATGTTAATGTTATGTATTTTGATTTTTGATTTTGCTTTTGTACCTCTTAAGGATTTTGTAATAGTGATTAGGCCAGAGATTACGATGATATATTGAGATAGTAATACTGATAAGTACATGTTCTACATGAATTATACTACTTTTACTTGATATTCAAAAGAAGCAACCCACTGTTACCTTGTCAAGATGTGAGGTAGAGCATATTGTTGTGTCTTCTTGAGTAATTTAGGCAGAACCTGGCGAAGAAACTTGGTGATGTGTTGATAACAAATTCACTCTTGCTTTACCAAAGAATCCACTTATTCATGAATGTAGCAAACGCAAATTTACAAGTTGTATTGATAAGCAAAATATTATTTTATAAGTGAAATTTAGAGTTTTAGTCTCAAGGTTAACACTTAAAAAAAGTAATTTTTTTTAAATGTACCAAACCGATATAGAGGTGTTCAAGCCTTGGTGTTATAATTCTAGTGTGTCGAAGTAAAAGTAATTTTAATATTAAATTATGTAGTTTTATTTAATTAAAATTAAATTTAAAATTAAAAAATTTATCTTATTAAATATTGATATTTAGATTTAAAAATTGATTAAAATTTTAAATTTTGAATTGGGATTTTAATTTCTAAATATAGATTGGGATTCCAATTTATCTCCATGTTTTAACTAGTTCATGATACAAAAATCTTAATGGGCTTTATTTTATTTTATTTTTTCATTTTTTTCTTAAATATTAGCAACCTTATTTATAGGTTGAAATAATATATAAGGTTTGTTTAATATAGTAGTTAAAATTCAATAGATAGTGGGTAGTGAGTAGTAGATAATAGATAGTAATAGAGGGTAGTGGGTAGCGAGTGATAGTTAGTGGATAATGGGTGGCAGATGACGGATGGCGGATGGCGGAAAGCAAGTAATAAATAGTAGATAACAAATTTGATTGATATAACTATTTAGTTATTTAATAGATAATAGAACTAAACAGTTATTGTTGAACATTAAATGACTAACAAAGATATGTTTAAAAATAATTAAGTGTATTTTTTTATATTTTTTATTATTAAAATTATTAATTT